AGGGGGGGAAAAAGAGAGAGGAGGAAAAAAAGAGAGTTGAGGAAAAAGGAAGAGGAGAAAAAGAGAGAGCAGAGAAAAGAGAGAGGAGAGAAAAAGAGAGGAGAAAAAAAAGAGAAGGAGAGAAAAAGAGAGGAGAGAGGGGGAAAAAAAGAGAAGGAGAGAAAAAAGAGAGGGGGGGAGAGAAAAGAGAGAGGGAGAGAAAAAGGAGAGGAGAGAAAAAAAAAGAGAGGGGAGGAAAGAGAGGAGAAAAAAAGAGAGAGAGAGGACAAAAAAAAAGAGGGAGAAAAAAAGAGAGAGGAGAAAAAAAGAGAGAGGGGACAGAAAAAAAGAGAGGGAGAAAAAAGGGGAGGAAGAAAAAAAGAGAGGGGAAAGAAAAAAGAGAGGAGGAAAAAGAAAGGGGAGGAGAAAAAAAAGAGAGAGAGAGGAGAGAAAAAGAGAGGAGGGGAAAGGAAAAAGAGAGAGAGGAGAGAAAAAGAGAGGAAGGGATAAAAGAGAGAGAAGATAGTGAAATCAGTGAAGGGGCGGGCCAGTAGCTGGTCTCGCCCCCCGCAAACCCAAACAAATTAGGCGGTGTACGTACGCGCCGGGGGCCCCCTTGACACCCCATCCCCTGAGGCGCATAAACCCGAAAACTGCTGCAGCATAGGGGCCCCCTGGCAAACCTAGGTAGCGTTCCGTCCCTCAGTAAGGATTCATTAAAGCTCTTTTTACCATTTGTCGGGCCCATACTGGAGTATGCAGCACCGTTTGGGAAACCACACCCAGCAAGCCGTCAAGAAATTAGAGAAAGTGCAAAGGTTTTCAACAAGATGTCCCAGAGCTACGGGGATTGTCCTAGAAGAAAGGGTTTAGGGAAATAGGCCCGACGACATGGGGGAAGGGAGGGTCAGGGAGACATGATAACGACATATAAAATACTGCACGGAATGACGAGGGGGACAAAGACGGGATGTTCCCCGAGATGGGACCAGCACAAAAAGGGCCAATTGGAAGTGAAGACTAGAGAAACAAAGGGTGTTAGGGAAATATTTTTTCGTATAGAGTAGCAGGCCATGGAATAGCCTAGAAAGTGATGTAGTGGAGGGAGGAAAACCATACATTTTTTAAGGCGAGGTATGATAGAGCTCATGGGGAGGGAGAGAGGGACCCAGTAGCAATCAGCGAAGAGGCAGGGCCAGGAGCTGGGGACTGACCATGCAACCACAAATAGGTGAGTACAAATAGGTGAGTACAACACACACAACACACCAACACACCACACACAACACACACAAAATGACAGAAAACAACGTTTTTAAGTAAATTTTGGGGAAGAAAAATTAGTTCCTAAATGACTACCTGTTTGACTTCCCAAAAAAAAAAATTTAATAGTGGCTTAAAGTCTGTAATATATGAGTTGCCCAAATTCATGCCACTTAGCGAGATATTCTCAAATTGTCACTTGGGAAAAGGGTACCATTATATTTCGTCCTTGTTTCCCCCGGATACCCTTTTTCTCCAAAGAGACACCCCCCATGTGAAGTGAGAACCCCAAAAACCTTCCCCAAAAAAAAAAATTCCCTGCCAAAAAAAAATACACAACAAAAAATTTTTAAGCTCAGCCCATGGCCAACGAAACAGTCAAAAACCTAACATCTTTTACACAATAACCTCCTGAGCTATTATTATTTCACATGGAACAAAAAAAAATGAGTTGGAAGTGCATAAAAGAAAAATAATAGAGTGAGAGGATGATCAATAAACTTAAAATACAGTGCCCCTGCATTATAATCTTAGCACAAATGTTAAGCATACATATACTGAAAATGCACAGACGTACAAATGCATGGAAACACTGAGGTACGAAGGCATATACCTGAATGCTATAAGCACCCCAAGTCTTAACTGGCAAGACATAAAAAAATGGAATAAATGGGCATGAATGTCGTAAGTACAATAAGACAATCTAAAAGACGAAAATAATTATTGGCTAATAGTATTAAAAAGGTCACACCTAAATCTAGCACACTGAATTCTGAGAGCATAGAACCCTGTGGCTTAGGTATTCAACACATGAAAGAACGAAAACTATCAGTAACCGAAAAATTCAAAAGAGGTTATGAAGCCAGGAAAGAATGCATATATATGACACAGTGAAATTAAGTATATAATTTGAATCAAACTGTGATTGTCATAATCCCTAACCTTTATATAACAAACTTTCTAAGGATAAGACAAGTTACAACATAACAACTCGTGTATTCAACGAAAAGTCAGCTATAATTAATCATTCCATATATTAGTCTACATCACAAGCATTTTTAGATACAGTAAACATGGGATGCAGTATTCACATAAGTACTGGATCAAAATTTTAACAAAATAAAAAAATGTAGCTTAGTAAACAGACTTAACAGGCATTAGTTTCCCAATGGATTGACAGCCAGATCATGCATACAAGGGAACAATCATGACTGAAGAGCCAAGAGTACAAAAGGGAGAGCAGCCGACACCAACATACCACCACCTTAGTAGGCCTGGGAACCTCTTTATTTATGAGGCCATTACTCAAACTCATCACACCCTCAGGCTGTCAGAAACAAAACACACAGTTACTTCTTGACATCTGGGAACAAAGCTTATAAAACACTCATGGATTACTTTTGCAATTAACTGGGGCTTCCCAACCATTTGAAATTTTTTAGTTATCAACACAAAGTAATAGCAATATTTCTATTTTGTAAACTGTAGGAAACCCCTGTTAATAGATAACAATGTAATTTTATTAGCCATCACTTATCTTTCACTTTAACTAATAAATTAATTTAAAAGCTCAATATATTCACATGCATCTTGCCACTCCAAGATTGCCAAGACAGTCCAGTCACACTAATTCACTCTTGGAATCAACAATAACAGGATCTTCAGGTGAATCATTAACAAATCAGGGATGATATTCACATATACAAGAAGCACATCTATACTTTCATATTTTAAGCAAATTAAATCCAGATGGAAAAGAAAGAAAGAATACAGCCAAAATTAATCAACATCCATATTCAGATAAATTTAGTCTCCTTTAAAAATAGACAATGGCTAAAATAAAACTTAAAGTAACAGTTAACATTTATGGATCTCAAAGTTGCTTTAGCTACCATTATCATTGCTGCAACAAAATATGCTCCTAATAATCAGTTGTCACAATTAACAACTTTGAATAAATCTTAAAATTAAAACAAAAAGCTAGCATGAACAACCTGGTCTGGTATCCATTGCCCCGGGAAGACAACTTAGTACACCATCATTCAAATATTCTTCTGATAAACAAGTTTCCTTAATTTTTTGTTTACTTCACTGTGGTTTTACCCCCTAATACCTTAACCCTTTTTAATTTTACAATACTGGAGTTATATTCATATTAATACTTTTCCCATGCTTACAAGTATCTCTAATGCTATAAATATTACAGAATATTAATGGAAAAAATGTTGTCAGAAAAATACTTGCAAACTAAATTAAAGCTTCATTATAAGTAAATAATACAAAGTAAATGCTCTTCACATTATACATTAACCTAAGCAAAATCTAACTATTATCTCTAAGTCTACCATAAGCATGAAGAAGTCTTCAATCCCACCAATAATACTTAAGTAAATTATAATGCAATAATATGCATATCTACCTATTTCTGCAAAGAATTAAATACAAAAGTTAAGTAAGATATCAGACATGACAAAACCAAAATAAACCCCCCAAAATAAAACTAACCTTGGCATATTCCACACACTTGTTGTGGGTGCAAATGTTGCTACACCACACACACCCATACGTGTTAGACACACACGATCGACAAGAAGTTTGCTCATTGCAGAGGGCAGTAAAATTAAGCTTTTGTGTTACTGTTGGGCATACATCATATGCATTTTTGTCGTTATTATTGGTAGGTTCACATCGTGTCAGAATCCTGAAAGAATCCAATTTTTTTTTTTTAATTATTTACAATTTATATGAAAAACTGAAGAGAACAGCAATCTAATTCCAATATTACAGATATTTTATAAAGCACCCCCAGGAGGGCATGCAACAGAGTATGGGCACCATTATTCAATTAATGTGCCCAATGGGTTTTGTTATATACAGTAGACTGTCATGTAACACGATAGTTACGTTCCTGAAAATGCCATGTTAGGTAAAAAACCATGTTAGATAAACTGAAGAACTTCAGGGAAAAATAGGGTTACGTTCCTGGGAGCCCCAAAAAAAGCCATACAACTTTTTTTTTTAGGCCTCCATATCTTACAAAAATAAAAGTGAATATGTAATTGTAATTCATGGTTGTGATTTATTATGTTGTCTTTACTGCATAAGATTACAAATGCAACAGAAAAAATAGTATTTCTTACCTTAAATTGTGGGTGCTGGTGTTTGTGGATGATTGTGGAGAGTAGAGAGTTATGCTGTGGCACTAGTGGGCTGAGGTGGATGGTAAAGGTTCTGGTATTTAAGTCGATGGTTGCACTGGAGTGTGTATAAATTCTGTAATGGATTTCTGTTCTATTTTACCCTACAGTACATTATACAATTGATGGTAAGGCATCAGCTGCTCTAGACACCCTTTCAGGGTCCACTTCAGTGAAAAAGTCTAACTTTAACTCATTCAGTAAGTCAGTCAAGTCATTCAGTAAGTCAATCATGTCATTCAGTCAGTCAAGTCAGAAAGTCATTCAGTAAATCCAAGTCATTCAGTAAGTCAGTCAAGTCATTCAGTCAGTCAAGTCATTCACTCATTCAGTAAGTCAGTCATTCAGTAAGTCAGTCAGTCATTCAGTCAATCACACAAACTCATGTTTACCTCATTTATGTGCACAAAGCGAGTTTCATTACGGCCACAGGCTATCCCTTGTTTAATATCTCTGTTTTCTTCATTAATTCTAAGATTCAAATGCTTATACTGTTTCTTGCCACTTTCAGCAACACTGGCATGTAACTGGGTGTCATGATTGCTTGGCAGATACAAGATATGGTAATTAAAAGATCAAAACACAATTCACAAACGCAGCTTGTAGCAGAGAAGAGGAACTAGACACGTATGAAGTATGAATGTTGGGATGGTGTGACAGGGTGGCAGGGGATGGCAGGAGTGTTGGGGGTGGCAAGGAATGGCGGGAGTGTTGGGGAGTGGCAGGGGATGGTGGGAGGTCTCCCCCGCTGATCCACAACAAGGTGGCCGCTTGTTAAATTAATTTTATGAAAGGTTGTATAAAATTGTGTTGCAATTCTTCAATCGTGCTATACCCGAATCATGCCAAATAAACTTGTGTTAAATGACGGTCTACTGTATTTGTATAAGTGTACAGTGTGTGTCTTCACTATTCCTTTTAGTTAACCATCCACCTTAAAAAACTTCTTACAGCTATACCCAACTTGAGTGCTCAGTTCATGTCCCATCTCCCTCCTTCCAGTCTCACCCACTGTCACTGTCCCCTGAGTAAATCATGTCAATATACCCCAATAACTTGTCAGCTTACCTGTTCCAAAAACACTTACGGCCAGGGTAGGCATGTAAGCACTCATCACTTGATGTAAGCCGCTTACAACTGTGAAAAAAGTGCAGACAAGTCATTTAAATTGAACAACTAATACTTCAACTTATTTTATTACACATTTCTGTGTTTCCTCCTATTATACACAAAACTAAAAAAAAAAAAAAGCATCCTTGGAACCAAGGTTACATGATTTCTGGAAAAAAAAATACAAAAAATCTTGCTTATACTATGATGATTTCTTGAAGAATGTTCTTATTCTTAACCAATTTTTACAGTGGGTTATTGCAAGAAATAAAAAAAGTAGGTGGAGTGTTTAGCATGTAACAAGAAACTTATCAGTGGCAGCAAAAACAAAAATGTAGCAGAGTACAGACATACCAACACTTACATGTGTGGGGCATGGTCTTTGAATGTCATGTTTGATAATGTGTGGAGCATTATGCAGACAATAAGGAATGAAGAAATAAGGAGACAGTGTGGGGCAGGAAAGGTATAAGTCAGAGAGTGGAGGGGTGTTGCGAGGGTTTGGTCATTTAGAAAGACTAGAGTTGAAAAGGATTGCTAACTCCCAACAAGACAGCTGCCTAGCATGGGCCAGTAGGCCTGCTGCAGTGCTCCTTCTGTCTTATGTTTTTATAATAATACAGAATGTGTTGCTTTAAATTATCCTGCCTTGCTGGAAAACAGCTATAGTAAGAAAACTTTTGGCTTAAATAACAAAAATAATATCAGTATAATATACGTGTCTACAAGACAAATTTGAACAATATAAGAAAAGTGAATACAGGAAAGAGTAAGGTTATGAGGATAACAAAAAGATTAGGTGATGAAAGATTGGATATCAGATTGGAGGGAGAGAGTATGGAGGAGGTGAATGTATTCAGATATTTGGGAGTGGACGTGTCAGCGGATGGGTCTATGAAAGATGAGGTGAATCATAGAATTGATGAGGGGAAAAGGGTGAGTGGTGCACTTAGGAATCTGTGGAGACAAAGAACTTTGTCCTTGGAGGCAAAGAGGGGAATGTATGAGAGTATAGTTTTACCAACGCTCTTATATGGGTTGTGAAGCATGGGTGTTGAATGTTGCAGCGAGGAGAAGGCTGGAGGCAGTGGAGATGTCATGTCTGAGGGCAATGTGTGGTGTGAATATAATGCAGAGAATTCGTAGTTTGGAAGTTAGGAGGAGGTGCGGGATTACCAAAACTGTTGTCCAGAGGGCTGAGGAAGGGTTTTGAGGTGGTTCGGACATGTAGAGAGAATGGAGCGAAACAGAGTGACTTCAAGAGTGTATCAGTCTGTAGTGGAAGGAAGGCGGGGTAGGGGTCGACCTAGGAAAGGTTGGAGGGAGGGGGTAAAGGAGGTTTTGTGTGCGAGGGGCTTGGACTTCCAGCAGGCATGTGTGAGCGTGTTTGATAGGAGTGAATGGAGACAAATGGTTTTTAATACTTGACGTGCTGTTGGAGTGTGAGCAAAGTAACATTTATGAAGGGGTTCAGGGAAACCAACAGGCCGGACTTGAGTCCTGGAGATGGGAAGTACAGTGCCTGCACTCTGAAGGAGGGGTGTTAATGTTGCAGTTTAAAAACTGTAGTGTAAAGCACCCTTCTGGCAAGACAGTGATGGAGTGAATGATGGTGAAAGTTTTTCTTTTTCGGGCCACCCTGCCTTGGTGGGAATCGGCCAGTGTGAAAATAAAAAAAAAAAAGAAAGAGCAATACAGTGGAACCTCTACTTACGAGTTTAATCCATTCCGTGACCTTGCTCGCATCTGGATTTGCTTGTTTGCAGAGTTAATTTTCCTTATTTAAATTAATTGAAATGGAATTAATCCGTTCCAGTGGAATTCCAGGCACGACAAAATATGTACTTCAATAATTTCCCTAATATCAACACTACGGCTTATTTATCTATCACATTTCATCCAATATGACATAATAAACAATATTAATAACAGAAACATGACATATACATTAGAATGAATAAAATACATGTCATTATATATGTGGCTATGGCCATTGTTGTTGTTGGGGTTTATAGGGCCACCACAGCAGCCATTCCTGCTCCTGACTACATGTACAGAGAACCTAGGATAACCCAAAAACAAGTCAAATGCTGCTGTTTCATGTTGTCTGCCACTGCTGCTTCATGTTGTCTGCCACTGCTGCTTCATATTGTCTGCCACTGCTGCTTCAGGCTGTCTGCCACTGCTGCTTCATGCTGCCTGCCACTGCTACCTCATGTTGTCTGTCACTGCTGCTTCATGCTGTCTGCCACTGCTACCTCATGATGTCTGTCACTGCTGCTTCATGATGTCTGCCACTGCTGCTTCATGTTGTCTGCCACTGCTGCTTCATGTTGTCTGCCACTGCTGTTTCATATTGTCTGCCACTGCTGCTTCATGTTGTCTGCCACTGCTGCTTCATGTTGTCTGCCACTGCTGCTTCATGTTGTCTGCCACTGCTACCTCATGATGTCTGCTCCCACTTTTGCTAGTGTGTTGAAGAGCTTTCCAGTATGTGAAGGTTGAGGGGGAGTGCCAATCAGACAGGTATTGGATGGTGACGTCATTTGTTTACTCTTGAGCATCGCCAAGGAATCGAACATTTCTGCTACTTTGAGCTCAATATCAAGGTACTTTTCATTGTGAAACCAATCAAAATCATATCTATTTCTGTAGTATATCTTCCACTCTATCAAATGAACAATAAAAAACGAGAATACAACCATAAAAACCATACGAAAATACTATACCGCTAAGGGAAGGCTAATGGCTGAGAAGTGAACTCAGTTATTTATGGTCCAATTTCTTTCATTTTTGGTGTATGTTAAGAAGCACATTTCCATCACACATTGCCCAAGTTTCAATATGATAGTCCAACAAACAACAGAGATCCAATTCCCTAGATCAAGGGCAAGAGCCCCTCACCAGCATCAAGGAACCTCCCTTGAGGTTCTTTTCTTTCAACAAACCGGCTGTATCCCACTGAGGCAGGGTGGCCCTAAAAGAAAAACGAAAGTTTCTCCTTTTAAATTTAGTAATATATTCAGGAGAAGGGGTTACTAGCCCCTTGCTCCCAGCATTTTAGTTGCCGTTTACGACATGCATGGCTTACAGAGGAAGAATTCCGTTCCACTTTCCCATGGAGATAAGCGGAAATAAACAAGAACAAGAACTAATAAGTAAATACGTGTAGAAGTATTAGAATGTGAGGCAGAAGTTTGTGGTTATAGGAGGGTGGGAGCAGGAGGAAAGAGGAGTGATTGGTGGAATGATGAAGTAAAGGGTGTGATAAAAGAGAAAAAGTTAGCTTATGAGAGGTTTTTACAAAGCAGAAGTGTTATAAGAAGAGCAGAGTATATGGAGAGTAAAAGAAAGGTGAAGAGAGTGGTGAGAGAGTGCAAAAGGAGAGCAGATGATAGAGTGGGAGAGGCACTGTCAAGAAATTTTAATGAAAATAAGAAAAAATTTTGGAGTTAAAAAAGTTAAGAAAGCATAGGGAACATATGGATTTGTCAGTTAAAAACAGAGTAGGGGAGTCAGTAGATGGGGAGAGGGAGGTATTAGGTAGATGCGAGTTATTTTGAGGAACTTTTAAATGTTGAGGAAGAAAGGGAGGCGGAAATTTCATGCACTGGCCAGGGAGGAATACCATCTTTTGGGAGTGAAGAAGACCAGAATGTAATTTGTGGGGGAGGTACGTGGGGCCCATTAGTAGAATGAAAGGGGGTAAAGCAGCTGGAACTGAGGGGATCATGACAGAAATGTTAAAAGCAGGGGATGATATAGTGTTTGGAGTGGTTGGTACTTTTGTTTAATAAATGTATAAAAAGAGGGGAAGGTACCTAGGGTTGGCAGAGAGCATGTATAGTCCCTTTATATAAAGGGAAGGGGGACAAAAGAGATTGGAAAAATTATAGAGGAATAAGTTTATTGAGTATCCCAGGAAAAGTGTACGGTAGGTTTTTATTGAAAGAATTAGAGGTAAGACAGAATGTAGGATTGTGGATGGCAAGGAGGTTTCAGAGTGGGTAGGGGATGTGTAGATCAAGTGTTTACATTGAAGCATATATGTGAACAGTATTTAGATAAACATAGGGAAGTTTTTATTGCATTTTTGGATTTAGAAAAGGCATATGATAGAGTGGATAGGGGAGCAATGGGGCGATGTTGCAAGTATATAGAATAGGTGGTAAGTTTTCTAAATGCTGTAAAGAGTTTTTATGAGGATAGTGATGCTCAGATTAGGGGGTGTAGAAGAGAGGGAGACTCTTCCTGGTAAAAGTAGGTCTTTTGACAGGGATGTGTTAAAGCCACCATGGTTGTTTAATATATTTATAGATGGGGTTGTAAAAGAAGTAAATGCTAGGGTGTTCGGGGGAGGTGTGGGATTAAATTTTGGGGAATCAAATACAAAATGGAATTGACACAGTTACTTTTTGTTGATGATACTGTGTTTATGGGAGATTCTAAAGAAAAATTGCAAAGGTTAGTGGATGAGTTTGGGAGTGTGTGTAAAGGCAGAAAGTTGAAAGTGAATATAGAAAAGAGCTGAAAGTGAACATAGAAAAGAGTAAGGTGATGAGGGTATCAAATGATTTAGATAAAGAAAAATTGGATATCAAATTGGGGAGGGGTATGGAAAAAGTGAATGTTTTCAGATACTTGGGAGTTGACATGTCGGAGGATGGATTTATGAAGGATGAGGTTAATCATAGAATTGATGAAGGAAAAAAGGTGAGTGGTGTGTTGAGGTATATGTGGAGTCAAAAAACGTTATCTATGGAGGCAAAGAAGGGAATGTATGAAAGTATAGTAGTACCAACAGTCTTATATGGGTGTGAAGCTTGGGTTGTGAATGCAGCAGCGAGGAGGCGGTTGGAGGCAGTGGAGATGTCCTGTCTAAGGGCAATGTGTAGTGTAAATATTATGCAGAAAATTCGGAGTGTGGAAATTAAGAGAAGGTGTGGAGTTAATAAAAGTATTAGTCAGAGGGCTGAAGAGGGGTTGTTGAGGTGGTTTGGTCATTTAGAGAGAATGGATCAAACTAGAATGACATGGAGAGCATTTAAATCTGTAGGAGAAGGAAGGCGGGGTAGGAGTCGTCCTCGAAAAGGTTGGAAGGAAGGGGTAAGGGAGGTTTTGTGGGCGAGGGGCTTGGACTTCCAGCAGGCGTGCATGAGCGTGTTCGATAGGAGTGAATGGAGACGAATGGCATTTGGGACTTGACGATCTGTTGGAGTGTGAGCAGGGTAATATTTAGTGAAGGGATTCAGGGAAACAAGTTATTTTTATATAGCCGGACTTGTGTCCTGGAAATGGGAAGTACAATGCCTGCACTCTAAAGGAGGGGTTTGGGGATACAGGTCGACCATCACTAATCCAGCATCGTTGGGACCTGTAGTGTGCCGGATTAGTGAGTTTGCCGGATTACAGAGTGGTTAGGTTAGAATACACTTAATTAACCTATCAATAGAGAGACTGCTACATCTTCCTCATTTTCATCACTGCTTTCTCCTCCACTGGCTTGCTGCTGTGGATTTACAACCGTCTTCACAAGTTCTGAGTCAGTATAATGATGAAATTTGAAATTATGCTAGCTGAAATTAGTGCCGGATTATTGATGGACCCAGATAACTGATTGCCGGATTAGTGATGGCCAACCTGTATTAGCAGTTTGGAGGGATATGTTGTGTATCTTTATACGTATATGCTTCTAAACTGTTGTGTTCTGAGCACCTCTGCAAAAACAGTGATTATGTGTGAGTGAGGTGAAAGTGTTGAATGATGATGAAAGTTGGGGATTTTCTTTCTTTTTGGGTCACACTGCCTCGGTGGGAGACGGCCGACTTGTTGAAAACAAAAAAAATGTAGAAGAAAACCCAGAGGGGTGTGTATATAAATGCTTGTACATGTATGTGCAGTGTGACCTAAATGTAAGAAGAAGTAGCATGACATATCTGAAATCTAAATAGCAATAACTAGCTACAAAAATCTTGTTAAAATATTGAGTCATGACAAAAAGTTAAGTAAATAATAATATTCTATCAATACAAATAGTGTAATAAAATTCCATAATAAATAGGAATCAAAGTAATAATAATTATAGTAGTGAGAAATATAAGAGAAAGATTACCATGTTTCACCCTGTCATGTAGCAGGGAGAAGGCAGGAGGAAAAATTGGGAAGCAGACTACTTACAGAAACAAGTGTAAAATTATTCTTTACTCCCTTACTTTCTTTAACAAATGCCTAATGTTTAAAGAAATAAAACTACATGGTAATCTCTGGCATGCCAGAGATTACCATGTGCATTTGCCTCAGGAGCTGACGAACCTACATTGTTAATTAGGCCTAAGTTAAGCAGAGTTGTGGAAAATATTACATCAAGTAGTGGGTTGCCTAAACAAACTATATTTATTTTGTTAAACAAAAATTTAGGTGGCACTTTTTCAAGAATTTAATGGTTTAGAGGTGATCTTTGAAAGTGCCTGCACTTTAAATGAGGGGTTTAGGATATTGGCTGCTTGGAATGACACCTAAACTGTCATATCTGGGCATCTCTGCAAAACAGTGATTGTGTGTGAATAATGGTGAAAATGTTGAATGATAGTAAAAGTGGGAGACAGCTGACAAGTTAAAAAAACAAAATTAACAAGTTTCTCCTAACAGTAAACAGAAGACATATTATGTGGTAATCTTACAAAATGTAGTAATGACAAAAGAACGTAAATGTAAACAAACCAAAAAACTTCAACTTACACTCCAGGGTGATACCGGAGAATGGATCCAAGCATTTTGCCATTGAAACCACCAACTATATACATTTCCCCCTGATGCAATACTGCTGAATGGCCATAGCGCGCTACATCCAAATATAGATTCGGAGGTTTGCTTAAGGAGTGCCAGGAATTACAGGCTATGTCATATGCCAAAAAATCTGCACTATAACATTTGGCACCATAAGAAAAGGCTGTATCATTATGCGTGTTTCCTCCGAACACCAGCATCAGTCCTTCAACTAGGACGGCAGAATGCAAGAACCGAGGCACTGGTGCTGGACTTCGTAGTTTCCTAAAAAGTAAACATTCTACAGATAATGGTGAAACTTTATATTACTTTCTATGCTATAAAAGTAATCACATCTTCAATAAAATATTTTATTTTTTATACTGTATAGTATAATACTACTTAGTTTATTACTGTTTAGTAACCTACACACTGATGAAGTTAAAAAGAGTCAATTTTATTAACTAAATGTACATGAAAAAATATTTGGTTTGCTTAATTTAATACTGACAACAACAATTAACACTAGAAAATAGTCTCTTAAAAATTACTTGTTGCATTTTATATTTATTACATAAATAGTCTCAGATGTCATGATGTCATTTCTGAGGGCAATGTGGTGTGACTATTATGCAGAATTCATAGTTTGGAGATTAGGTGTGGGGCTACCTAGGGTATTATTCAGAGGGACAAGAAGGTTTGGACAGTTCAAAAGGATGGAGAAAATTAGGATGACTTGGAAGGTGTATAAATTTATGGTGGAGGAAGAGAGAGGTAGGGGTCATCCTAGGACAGGTAGGTTATCCTAGAAAGGTTGGAGAGAGGAGGTAAAGGTTTTGTACATGAGGAGCCTGGACATCCAACAGGCTTGTGTATGTGTTAGATAGGAGTGGAGGCAAGTGGTTTATGTGACTATGTGCTTTTGGAGTGTGAGCAAGTTTAACATTTATGAATGGACTAAGGGAAACTAGTTAGCTGGACTCGAGTCCTAGAGGTAGGAAGTACAATGCCTGTACTCTGAAAAGGTGGGGATACTGCAATTTGAAGAGGCATCTGAGCTGTAATGTCTGCACTCCTCTGCCAAGACAGTGATGGAATGAGTGATGGTGAAAGTTTCTTCTTTTTCTGGGTCGCCTTACATTGGTGGGAAACAGCCAGTGTGTTAAAAAAATTCAGAGTTGCAAATGAATTGTTCATAAGATGAAGCACTGGAATGCAACTCATCTGTAAAGTGGGATCCTACATTATTGGCATCAGGTAATATTCAATGCCCATGTTTTACTTCCACAGGCTTAGCAATGGTAATTTGAGATGATCTCAGACCCCATATCTATTCACTCTAGAAGCTTTAAAGTATCTGACCAAGGAGAATTCTTGATGCACAAGGACAGTATTTTCATTCACTTGGCAAGGCTATGGTAAATGGATTAAAAATCAATTATTTAAATAGCTATTGTACAACATTCTAAGACAATTATGAAATACAGTGAAAGATGCTGGTTGCACAGAACCAGGATCAGGCATAATTTTAGATTATTTATTTCAAATGTATTGTGATAATTTCAAACCTATAGGTGGAAGGCCGGTGGGCAGCAACCACCAGAAATGTACTATTGGCCTGTTACAGGAGTGAAAGAAAAATCTGCTAAATGTTTTAAAACTCTGCCAAAACTGCTGATATGTCTGTCTCATAAACATGTAAGACGACAGATAAATCTTGCAGCTAATGTTAAAATTCAATATACTGAACTCTACATGTATGTGAATGTATATGTACATGTGTATGCATGTACACACTCACTTAAATTTTCTTACAAATTTCTTCAAACTTCTTGTCCATTTAGTGTTTCCCTTTAATTCTATGGGTAAGTGGCATAGAAGAGGCATATGAGGGTGGATAGGAAAGCAATGTGGCAGATGTTTCAGGTGTACAGAACAGGTAGTACATTGCTAACAGTCAGAAAGTGGTAGGGGCTTGAGCATCCAGCAGGCATATGTGTGACCTTGTTAAATTGTGGAGAATGGAGACAAGTGATTGTATAAATAAGACATGCTGAAGTACAAACAAGGTAACACTTATGAAGGTATTCAGGGAAATTGGTTACTTGGCCTTCTAGTTTTGGAGATGAGAAGCACAGTGCCTGAATGCTGAAGGACAGGTGGGGGTGTTACAGTTCAGGTCATTTAAATTGTAATGTCTGATCACTTCTAGTAAGACAGATAATCAATGAATGATGGTGAACAGGTCCATCCTTTTCTGAGTCACCCTATATTGATGGCAAGTAACCAAAATAATTTAAAAATCCAAACTTACCATTTTTGTTTGATAGGGTCATATGTCATTAGGTATGGAACAACATGACTGGCAGAAACGATAGAGAGCAGACCACCGTGGACATAAACAAGAGCAGTTGTAGGATCCCACAATGCTGTGTGACCATAAACTCCTTTAACTACAGCACCTCGTGTTTCCACTGTCATCCAGGTGCCTTGCTCTGTAGGTTAATTAGTAGTAAAAAATATATATTAATATTGAAATCTCTACTACTGCATTAAAGATTCTCAGAGCTAACTGATAAAAAGACAATGTAATTATTATAAGAAATAAATATATTTATTATGAATTTATACAGGCAAGGAAGAACTTCCATAAAATGTTTACACTTTTCTATACAGCAAACCTATGTCTGCTCCAATTCTTCCTGGACTTTTCTGAAAATCTTTCTTTATGAAGGCTTCTGTTTTAATTTTCCACATTAGTGGTTGACTTCCCATCTCTCTCCTTCCTTTCTTCCATTCCCATCTACAATATTACTGTCTTCATTATTATTTTAAAAGAGTCCTTTTAAAAACACCATTTCCCCAGTCGTCCCCAGTTTTCCTTCAATATCTCAAGTTTTTGTCACTCTGTTCGTCTGGAAATTTTAATCTAATTCTTTTATTCCATCAATTACACATCTTTACCTTGTTACACTTCATTGTTTTCCAGTAACAAGATCACTCTTTTCTTTTTCTTACCTATCTCTACCATTTTCTCTAAATATATATTTTTGAAAAAATAATTGTGGTAGGGAACCTGAATGCTAAAGTAGGAGAAACTTTTAGAGAGGGTGTGGTAGGTAAGTTTGGGGTGCCAGGTGTAAATGATAATGGGAGCCCTTTGATTGAACTTTGTATTGAAAGGGGTTTAGTTATAGGTAATACATATTTTAAGAAAAAGAGGATAAATAAGTATACAAGATATGATGTAGGGCGAAATGACAGTAATTTGTTGGATTATGTATTGGTAGATAAAAGACTGTTGAGTAGACTTCAGGATGTACATGTTTATAGAGGGGCCACAGATATATCAGATCACTTTCTAGTTGTAGCTACACTGAGAGTAAAAGGTAGATGGGATACAAGGAGAATAGAAGCATCAGGGAAGAGAGAGGAGAAGGTTTATAAACTAAAAGAGGAGGCAGTTAGGGTAAGATATAAACAGCTATTGGAGGATAGATGGGCTAATGAGAGCATAGGCAATGGGGTCGAAGAGGTATGGGGTAGGTTTAAAAATGTAGTGTTAGAGTGTTCAGCAGAAGTTTGTGGTTACAGGAAAGTGGGTGCAGGAGGGAAGAGGAGCAATTGGTGGAATGATGATGTAAAGATAGTAGTAAGGGAGAAAAAGTTAGCATATGAGAAGTTTTTACAAAGTAGAAGCGATGCAAGGAGGGAAGAGTATATGGAGAAAAAGAGAGAGGCTAAGAGAGTGGTGAAGCAATGTAAAAAATAGAGGCAAATGAGAGAGCAGGTGAGATGTTATCAACAAATTTTGTTGAAAATAAGAAAAAGTTTTGGAGTGAGATTAACAAGTTAAGAAAGCCTAGAGAACAAATGGATTTGTCAGTTAAAAATAGGAGAGGAGAGTTATTAAATGGAGAGTTAGAGGTATTGGGAAGATGGAGGGAATATTTTGAGAATAGTTAAATGTTGATGAAGTTAGGGAAGATGTGATAAGTGTATAAGGGCAAGAGGAATAACATCATGTAGGAGTGAGGAAGACCAGATTGTGAGTGTGGGGGAAAGTTCGTGAGGCAGTAGTAAAATGAAAGGGGGTAAGCATCTGGGAATGATGGATAAAGAAAAAATGTAAAAGCAGGTGGGGATATAGTTTTGGAGTGGTTTGTGCAAATTTACTAAATGTACGGAAGAGGGTAATGTACCTAGGGATTGGCAAGAGCATGCTAGTTTCTTTGTAAAAGCAAAGGGGAACAAAAGAGAGTGTCAAAAAATTATAGAGGGATAGTCGTTGAGTATACCTGGTAAAGTGTATGGTAGAGTTATGATTGAAGAATTAAGAGTAAACGGAAAATCGGATAGCAAATGAAACAAGGAGGCTTTAGGAAAGGTAGGGGTGTGTGGACTCAGGTGTATTACAGTGAACATCTAAGTGAACAGTATTTAGATAAGGCCTAGAGGTCTTTGTGGCATTTATGGATTTGGAAAAGGCTATGGACAGGGTGGATAGGGGGCAATGTGGCAGATGTTGCAGGTGTAAAGGTGAGGAGGATAGGCTAATAACTGAAAGCAGTGAAGAGTTTTTACAGAGGATAGTGAGGCTCAAGTTAGAGTATGTAGGAAAGAGGGAAAATTATTTCCCAGTAAAAGTAGGCCTTAGACAAGATGTGTGAAGTCACCTTGGTTTTGCTTAATATATTTATAGATGGGGTTGTAAGAAATAAATGCGAGGGTCCCCTTGGCAAGAGGCGTGGAGTTAAAAGATAAAGAATCACAAGAAAGTGGGAGTTGTCACAGTTCTTCTCTTATATCTGATGACAACTGTGCTCTTGGTAGATTCTGAAGGAAGTTGCAGAGAATGGTGGATGAATTTGGTAGGGTATGCAAAAGAAGAAAATTAAAAAGTGAATCCAGGAATGTAAGGTTATGAGGATAACAAAAATCTTATGTGATGAAAGATAGGATAAACAGATTGGAGGAGAGAGTATGGAGGAGGTGAATGGTATTCAGATATTCGGGAGTGGACGTGTCAGCAGATGGGTCTATGGAAAGATCCGATGAATCATAGAATGATGAGGGGAAGAGGTGTGAGGTGGTGCACTAGGAGTCTGTGGAGACAAAGAACTTTGTCCCCTTGGATGCAAAGAGGGGAATGTAGGAGAGGATATTTTAACCAAACGCTCTATATGGTTGTGAAGCATGGGTGATGAATTTATGCAGGCCGAGGAGAAAGGCTGGAGGCATGTGGAGATGTCATGTCTGAGTGGCACTGTGTGGTGTTGAATATAATGCAGAGAAATTCGAGTTTGGAAGTTAGGAGGAGGTGCGGGATTACCAAAACTGTTGTCCCCGATGGGCTGAGGAAGGGTTTTTTGAGGTGGTTCGGACATGTAGGAGAATAGTGAAACAGAAAGACTTCAAGAGGTTCATCGTAGTGAAGGAAGGGGGGGGAGGATCGGCCTAGGAAAAAATTGGGGGGGGGAAAGGAGGTTTTGTGTGCGAGGGGGTTGGACTTCGCAGGCATGTTGAGCATTTTGTAGAGGAATGGAACAAAGGTTTTTAATATTACAGCTGTTGGATTTTTTAAAAAACTTTTGGGGGGGAACCCGGGAGGCTGGCTTAAGTCCTGAGATGGGGAAAAATGCCTCACTCTGAAAGGGGGGGATTATGTTCAGTTTAAAAAAATGTAGTGTAAAGCACCCTTTGGCAAGACAGGGTGGATGTGAGGGGAAAGTTTTTTTTTTTTCGGGCCACCCTGCCCTTTGGGGGAATCGGCCCGGTTTTAAAAAAAAAAAAATTAATATAATTTTTAAAATTTATTTAAAAAAAAAAAATTTTCGGGTTCAAATAGGTTCTAAAAAAGGGGGCAAAATTTAAGGAAAATTTTTAAAAAGGGGAAAAGGGATAAATTCAAGGTTGGGAAAAAAAAAAGGGAGTGAAAATTTTATTTTTTGGGGTTCACCCAAAAGAAATTTTAAGGGAAAAAAATTTTGGGAAAAGTTATAATTGGGGGGGGTTTTTTTTCATTGGGGGTAGGGGGTTTGGGTTTCATGTTTAAGGGGGGGTTTTTGGGGGTTTTTGGAAAAGGGGGGCCCGGGGTAAAGAAAGGGGGGGGTTTTGATTGTGTAGGAAAAAAATTGGATAATTAAAATTTTTTTAAAAAAGGGAAAAAAAAAAGGAAAAGGGGGTATATTTTGTTTTTTTTTTAAAAAATTTGGGGGGGGCTGGGTTCATTTTTGGGGGCAATATATATATCATTATTTTTTTTTTAAAATTTGATTTATAAAGAGGAATCAAAAAATAAAAAATTTGTTTTAAAAAAAGGGGGGGAAAATTGGGTAAATTCGACATGGGAAAAAGGGGGGCAGGAAAGAAAATTTTTTTTTAGAGGGTTGGGGTTTTTAAAAGGGGTTTTTTGTTGGGGAAAATTTTGTTTTTGGGGGGGGGGAAAAAAAATGATTTTAATTAAAAAAGGGTGGATAAAAAAAAAAGGGTTTTTTTTTCAAAAAAAGGAAAAAAGGGAATTAAAAAAAAAAGGTAAAAATTTTAAATAAAAGGAAAGGGGAAAAAAAAAATGGGGGGAAAATTTTTTAAAAAAAAGAAAAAATTTTAGGGTTTTTAAAAAAAGAAAGTGGAAAAGGGTTTTTTAAAAAAAAGGGGGTTTGGATAGTGGGGATTTTAAAGGGAAAATATTTTGAGGAATTTTAAATGTTAGAGAAGGGCGTATTTCTGAAGGGCGGGGGAAAACTCTTTAGGAGTGAGGAAGAGCCAGTTTTTTGGTGTGGGGAATTTCGTGAGGCATAGGAAAAATAAAGGGGGGTAAGGCACCCGGGATGATGGGAAAAAGATAAAATTTTAAAAAAGCAGGGGGGATATAGTTTTGGAGTGGTTGGTTTGTTTAATAAAGTAGGGAAGGGGGGAAGGTCCCTAGGGTTGGCGAGAGATGATATTTCCTTTTATAAAGGGAAAGGGAAAAAAGAGATAAAAAAATTATAGGGGAAAAGTTTTGATTTAAAAGGGGAAAGTGTAGGGTAGGTTTAATTTGAAAAAATTAAGGTAAGACAGAATAGGATGCGATAAACAGGAGGTTTAAAAAGGGTGGGGGGTGTTGGACCAGGTTTTAATAAAAACTTTAAAAGTAACAGATTAGATAGGTAAGAAGTTTTTTTGGCATTTTGGATTTGAAAAGGCTTTGAAGGTGGATAGGGGGCAATGTGGCAGATTTGCAAGTTAGGGGTAGGAGGTAAGTTATTAAAGCGTAAGAGTTTTTAGAGGATAGTGAGGCTCAGGGTTTGGGTTGTAGGGAAAGAGGGGAAATTTTCCCATAAAAGTAGGCTTAGACAGGGGTGTGTGGATGTCCCCCTGGTTGTTTAATATATTTATAGATGGGGTTTTAAGGAAGAAATGCAGGGTTTGGAAGGGGTGGGGTTAAATTTGGGGGAAACAAACAAAATGGGATTTGCACAGTTCTTTTTGCTGATGAACTGTGCTTATGGGA